CTGGGGGAGAGGGGGAGAGGGGTTAGAATGGGGGTGTGTGGTGGGGGTGTGGTGGGGGGGGTGGAGGATGGGGCGTGGATCTGGTACTGGGGGAGAGGGGTTAGAATGGGGGTGTGGTGGGGGGGGGGGTGGAGGAAGGTGGTGCATGGGGCGTGGATCTGGGGGAGAGGGGTTAGACTGGGGGTGTGGTGGGGGTGTGGTGGGGGGGGGTGGAGGATGGTGGTGGATGGGGCGTGGATCTGGTACCCTGGGGGAGAGGGGGAGAGGGGTTAAACTGGGGGTGTGGTGGGGGTGTGGTGGGGGTGTGGAGGATGGTGGTGGATGGGGCGTGGATCTGGTACCCTGGGGGAGAGGGGGAGAGGGGTTAGACTGGGGGGTGTGGTGGGGGTGGGGGTGGGGTGGTGGTGGTGCATGGGGCGTGGATCTGGGGGAGAGGGGTTAGACTGGGGGTGTGTGGGGGGGGTGGAGAAGGGTGGAAGAAGGTGGAGGAGGGTGGAAGGGGAGGGTGGTGGATGGGGCGTGGATCTGGTACCCCGGGGGAGAGGGGGAGAGGGGTTAGATTGGAGGTGTGGTGGGGGGGGGGTGGAAGGTGGAAGAGTTGGTAGGGGAGGATGGTGGATGGGGCGTATGGGTGGGTGTGTAGGTACGAGGAAGGAGGTGGAGGAGGTGGATGAAGGGAGTGGATCGGGTTGTGATGGATTGTGGATGGTTGGAGGTGGAGGAAGGTGGATGAGGTGTGTGGGGGGAGGGGAGGTGGTGGAGGAGGGAGGTGGATGAGGAGTGTAGGTGGAAGGAAGCAGGTGGAGGATAGTGGATGTGAATGGATGATAGATGGGGTGTTTAAAAGAATTTGGTGGATGAATGTGTGGATAGGTGGATGACAGATGGATGGATTGTGGAGTGTTAGTGCGGATTTGACGGATGGATATTTAGGTGAAGCTTTAGTGGATAGAGGGAGGGACAGGTGGATAAACGGATAATAGATAGGTGAAGGAATAGATATATATGGATGAATAGGTGAGTGAAGTGGGGCAGGATAGATGAGTATGTGGGGGGGGGGGAGATAAGAGATGAGTGGATAGGTGGATACGTAGGTGGGACGCTCGTTAGGTGGATAAATAAAATGACTGATGGGTATTTGCATAGTAGAGGCAAGTATATAGATCAGCTGTTATAGAGCAAAATACACCTATCAACTTCAATTTGATTATCGTTTATCATCCACTTCCAGTAGCGTAATATACGACACTCTTAAAACCACCAAATACCATTGCTTATCAGCTAATTCTTATTATCAACATGCAGTTTCAATACTCATTTTGGATACCCATAACTGGTTCTTAAAATCCAATAACTGTTAAAGAATTCGATTCCACAGTCTTACGAAAAGTTCTTAAAGAGAGGGAGAGAGAAAAAAAATCGATCAGAGGGAGGAGAGTGATAGACAGAAGAGAGTGATAGACAGGAAGTAAGTAAGTAAGTCAAGAGGGAGATCTTACTTTCTATATATGCCTATCTGCATTTATCATCTGGCTATCTGTTTATCTGTAAATATATATCTTATATTCTAAAATTCTATTTATTTAAAATCCGCTGCATTTCTTAGCTATATTTATCTATCTATGTAACTATCTGCTTACTTGTTAACATTCAAATCTATATCTATATCTATCTATTTAAGTATCTATCTATGTTTGTATCTTTATAATTATCTGTCTAACTGTCTGTCTCTATCTATATCTGCCTGTATCGAAGATCATTAATAATATATAAGCTACTGTGATACAAATATTACCAGATATGATTATGGGAATACGGTGACAGATGTGCATCGCAGCCATAAAGCATACAAAATATAGAAATGTTATACAGCTGAACACATTTGCGAAAATCATTGGCCTGGAACATTTTCCGAAGCCCGAGTCACGACATAGCAATCCCCGATTTCGAAATGTTGAGCTCGGTCTTTCAAAGATTGGCATTTGTTCACAATTGTTCACCAGTCCTAATCGTTGTTCACTATTGCTCGGTCAATGTTCAAAATGCCTCGCGAATCTGTTCAACTTGTCTATCAGCCTGTCTCTTTATCTTCCCCCTTCCTCTTGCTGTTCTTCGGAGCAAAATTAGATTTCCGAAGTCTCTGTAACCGACGCTGCGTCCGAATCCGTGAAGTATGATTGTTTGATTTATGTTAGAATGAATTCGTTTCAGAAGTTGAAACGTCACGAATTATTATATGATTCTGCTGGATTTTTAAGAAAAAAAAGTTTTTTATATGCCGATTTGATTTGAAAATGTCAAAGGACACTAACTTCACGATGCGTAATTCTTCAGGTAAAAATATACAAATATCAAATGAAATAAGATTTGACATATTAAAAATATGAGAAAAATCTAATTAAACCGGACGTTGTCAATAATAGTTTATCCTGTTTTTGACATTTGAGACAAAGAACTCGAAATACAGGTCAATTCGATTAAATCCAAACTGGCAACTTTT